GCTAAAACATCGTATATGGTGCACATAAACTTGGTCACAATTATAACTCGAAAAGTTTCCCCTCTGGCGATGCTGGTTGTTTGTGGCGAAATTTTTTTTTTTTTTTTTTTTTTTACAAAGTCAACCAAGCCAAATCAGCCACATGAGCATAGAGACATCAGTTGGTCCTTCGGCTCTTTCAATTTCACTACGTTTCATACCAGATGTCTAACGGTAACGATTGTCTAGAGGAATGTAGCATAAGTCAATAAAGTTAACAGATACGGCACATAAACATGTTGTGTGAAACATCGACTACGTGACAGATTTTAATAATTGACCAGATTTCAATAATATGCTCAAGATCAGATCTTGCGTTACGCAGTTTACTTGGACAGTATATGCACGGTGAATTTTTTTTTTATTAAACAAAAAGTATTTTTAAGTACCAAACAATTTACCATACATTTCTGGGGTCATATGAAACATAATGGGATGTTCTTTATATCCGAATTGTTAATTTTTACTACTGCGGTCCCATTATCTCTCTAATGAACTCCTTAATATCTTAGACTTCATTACTTTTGACTGACTGACTTTCTACCCCACCAGGACATCACACAAGCGATAAACACCCGATGACACAATGTGCCACCATGTGGATGAGGATCACCATGGAGAGGTCCCAGAAACCGCGTTCAACCAATTGGCCATATTTATGGCCTGGCTATATTGAGGCCCCTGGCAAAAGCCAGGGTGGGGCTTCAAATAACACAAAATTTCATCAAGAGCCAGGGTAGGTCTTCAAATAACGAACAATTTCATCCTAAAAAAGGACGGGATTTATATCACTTTTTGGTAATTTATTACTTTTAGGCTCAACTCCTTGTGATAGTAGGAGTTAAAGAAACCACTGCTTGAGACCGAAAAATAGCATCCAAACCTCAAGATTTGTCTCTGGATAAAATCCGTGCGCGGTGTCTACCACGCCCAATGCTTGAAAACAAAATCCGGATCAGCCAGTAGAGGTACCTGCACTTTTTGAGCACAAATAGCTGTAATGAACACATCATCTAACCATAAGGGTTTCATTCTAAGTGCAGCTTGATATAGAAGTTTTACAGTCGTCATCGGATAGCCCAACAATCCTCCAAGAACGAAAGGTGGTAACGTCGAATAGGGATATTCTTCCTGCGATAAGAAATACTTATTTTCTTTCCGCCGAATAGGCTCCCACCCAGAAACAACTTGTCCTAAAATAAAGTCACTAAATTCATTGCTCATTCGATCGAGCGCAGCTACAAGTTTTTCTGGGTTAACTTGCACGTCGTCGTCGGTTCTGATGACGTACTTAGCCCGTCCACAGAAATTCGATGCCCATTTTAACATGGAAACAGCTTTCAGGCGCATGTTTCTGTAGGAGTCTTCAAACCCATCTTGGACTATATCGTTGTACTTTATAACTTCTTCATTGATTTTCTGTTGTATGTCTTCGTCAGTTGCGTTAGACTGTGATCTTCCAAGGAAGAAGAGAAGTTTGGCTTGGTTGTTTGAGTCATGTATGTAACTTGCCCGACTGCCTTTCCTGACTTTGTCCCGATTCTCGAAATTAGTTGGAGCTGAAGGTATAACAAACAAAACAGTAATTTTTTCTGATGAGCATGTCTTTATCGGATTGTGTATGTAGGAAAAGTTATGATTGTTTATAATTTCTTGGGACAGGAATGCTATTATTTTCTTTTGTAGTTCCAGCTGAAGTGTTAGATTGCGTTTCAGCCTGTGTAGAGTTGCAAATTGTTGATCTCGTAGATCTTGGGGAGATCCTTGAAGGCCGGGGTTTGAGGCATGTTTAACGTCAGATGAAGTGGACACTGGAGAACCTTTGGTGGAGTGTAACCTAATTAAGTGTAAAATCATAACTACGTTGATAACACTCGTTACAACCAGAACAGTCAATACGACGGACCTTCGTGCGGTCATGGTTAAAGCTGAGAGTTCCGTGTGACGTTCTTATGACGGATGAGGGTGTTGAGCGCTTGATGCAAGTAGATGTTCTCTTACGGGTGGATTGATACCTACAATACATGGATGACCTCAGGCTGAAAATAAATATGCGTGAGTTTAAACATTATACACTGTTTGGTTAAATACATAGGTATTTGTTTCATATGACTTAAAAATAAATTATCCCATCTTCTTCTTTGCGTTTGCTTTCGTATGCTCTGATAAGACCATCAGGTGGGTTGCCCCTATGAACTCGCATGTCAGTAGCAGGTCCTTCGTGGTTTCCCATAGCTTGCTCTACACACCTTGCTCTTGAGGCCAGGTGTTTATCCTGCGCAGATCTACCATTAATAGTTTGGGGTGGATCTCTTCGAGGCTCGGAATCCGGCGCTGTTCCCGCCTGGCAGTAGTCCACAGAAGCAGCCCCATAACTGTGTATCTAAGCACACCCATTAACCGTAGATTGCGTTGTTGTCCGTTTCCATTTCTGGGTGCCTACGCCATTCAGGCCGACATGTCCGTCTTCTGTGGGGGAAGTTACGAAGTCTTCCTATCGTGTCCTAGCTCGTCCAAACACTGCCTGCCCGAGATCAGAGGTTGTGAGAGTTTTCCTTCTCTGTCTCTGATTATCCAGGGTGGGCTCCCTGGGTGTGACCGTGGTGGGGATCGGGACATGTCCCCGCGCTGGTAGGACCACTATCGGCCGCGTACTATCGGGGTGACACTCCACTGAGGGTTTCTGTCTGGCTTACCCCAGCCACAGCCTGGTATTTTACCCCTTCAGGCATCAGGCGTCCATTTAGTTAGCGATGATGAAGAAGAAGTAATCCCACAAACATACACACACACACACACACAAATTTATCTATGCGTTGCTGTGTTGCTTTAACTGCCTTCTCCTATCTAAAATCGTAAACTAAAAGGATATGCAAGATCTATACTGTCCAGTCACCTCTAAAGAAGTCATGTTACGATGTAAGCACATCGTGATTCAGTGTAGCTCATCAGACTGGGGCTACCTGGTAATGTTTACCGAGATGTTTTAGTTATCTCATTGACAGCAAAAGTCTGGTAGTCTGGTAGTCTTAGTTTCGGGTTCATAGCAAACGGGTCGCCCCATCTTTGCTCCGCTCCTGTGCCAGCGAAAAACACCCAGAATGTTTATCACAGTCCCTTGTGGAAAGATTGACAGACTGCTGTCTCAGCATATCTAGCATACACTCGCATTAACGCATATGGTAGCCATCCGAAGTGCTAACACAAACAGTCCAACATTAGAAATGTAGTTCATCATTGATGATAGCAGAACTTGTCGCCAACAGATCAGCAGTTGCCCGCGTGATCAATTTTAATACGGGTCCCGCCAGCATTGCACGACCGGCATCGCGCCATTTTCTGAATCTACAATTCACACCACGTTGGTCACAGTCGAAAAAACATTCCAAATGTAATCCGCAGCTCACAGGGTCACGCCATGCATTCAACTCAGAAGCTGGGGGACGAAACTATATCCAGTCTACAAATGGAGCAAAAATACTTCGGCCACCGTCCGGCAGAAGCAAAAAAATTTGACTCCGCTCCGAACAGCGCCGCTGTCTAGCGTCCATTTTAACCGGAAGTCGACAGCAAAAGGAAATCCAGTGCCTTTGCTGACGAAATCACTGAGTATCAGAGTTCAGCACAGACAGAGACCGACTTTAAGTTAGGCAAGAAGTGCTAATACGACACAAAATGTCACTAAAAAGCTAGACGCACTAGGGCGACACTACTACAAAATCTTGCTTCGGTGATCAGATCAGCCACTACTCCTTAGAAAAACGTTTCATTGAAAGTTTTGATCTGTCCGGAAAGAATTACCATACAATACATCTGCATTTTATTTTATTTTATTTTATTTTTTTAATTTATTTGAATTATTTTATTTCTTCCTAGGGGGCAGCCGTGGTGTAGCGGCTAGCGCTCGTCTGCAGATCTGAAGGCAGCTGGTTCAGGTCCAATTATTTATTTTTTAAATAACCTTCGCTCGCAGGTCGACCCAGATTTAAATAGGTACCAGCTAAAATCATGGTAAGAAAAGGTGAACGCATTGACCACGTTATCCATCGAATGCTGACTGGTCTATAAAAATATGAGTCCAACCTTTTTTTGCCCGATTCACTACTAGCCTGTAAAGAGACCATCACAATTTTACATCTGTACCTGTCTTTTCTTTTTTTTTTCAAAACCTCTCTCATTTTGATTTGCAATATAGCCCTTTATGTCCATATCCACCCCCACCCCCACCCCACTCCAACCCCATTATATATTTCTTGATTCATGCTGACCTTCGTTGTTTAGAAGCGTTGTTGTCTTTTCTGTTTTCCAGTCATAGTTTATGTTGTATTTAGTAGTCTGTTGATAAAGACTTTGGTCGACGTGTTCAGTTGTATTTTCGTAAGCCTTTTCCATTCCATCGGATGAGCTTTCTGGTCACAATTTATGTTGTATTAGGTACTTCTCATCAGCTTGTCTCCTGTCACCATCTTGTAATCTCGTAATATGGCAATCTTAGTATTCAGGTAATATGGTATTCTTAGTATTCTGGTAATCTTAGCTTCAGCTTCATAGCAAAGGGTCACTATCACAGAAGGCCACCATAAAATGGCAAGAGAAAAAAAAAAGGTAAAGGTAAAGTAAGAAATGTGAACCAGCGTCATTACACACGGTTATAAACCATACGTGCTCTGCCACCAGTGCTGACAGCTGATAAGAAGCTTACAGCCTGTGTCGCCGTCCGGACGCAACTCAGTAGCAACAACGACGTTTCTTCATTTACCCAAGAGTGTTAACACTGGTACCCATTACCTAGAGACTAAGTGAACCCCAGGAACCGTCTGGTTTCGAAGACCAGCCAAAAGCTGCAAAGAGTTGCAGCCGGATTTTATTGCCAGTCTCTTATTGACTCACTGCTGGCTGCGTGGATTTTTATCAAGGTACGGGGCGTCGCAGGTCGACCCAACCTAAAATGGGTACTAAGGTGTATGTCCAGTGGAAGTAAAGACGGCCAGCCTAATGCTGACCACATTACCCACCTAGTGCCGATTGGTCAGTAAAAATATGGGTGCTCTTCCCATATGCCCAATGCGCCTAAAGCGTGAAAAAGGATCTTGGCCTTTTTTTTTTCACTTACTCCTATCGACTGCGCTAATGTGACCCCTAAGGCAAGAGAAATAGAGAAAACAACGACACTGGGCTAAGTAAGGATGATGCTGTTGATATTATAGCCCATATTTCTTCTGTTCAGGGGAAAACAACCATTTATTTGTGCCATTAGTGAAAATCGATTCCTAGTCTTCAGTTTCAAGTAATATCTAACCATTCCCCCTTTAATATTTTCCAGTCGATACGGTTCCATTTCCGTTACGTAAATGCAGTCACCGGCTTTTACGAAGTGGGCCGGTTATTTTAAAATGTCCATTACTAAGGCAGAGATCAATATCTCTCAATTGACATTTCAAATTAGCTGTTCGATTGTTATTGAAAGTTGCAGCGATGTGGCGAGTATAAAGGGACGAAAACAGTATGCTTAAAGCATCTATGTTGCCATGTCTAAAGAGCCAATATCTCAACATATTTTTCACAGAACGTCGCTTTCGTTACAGTACGCTTGAAATTATCTCTGTATCTAGTCAATTCCCCAGCCCTGTGTGCTTTTATAGCCAGTGTATCTTCAATGTCCTTATCCATCTGCTAAAAGGTCGGCCTCTGTCTCACTTTCCAGGGACCGCCCCTGCCATCGCTAGTTCCAGGCTATCATGATATTTAACATTGCTAGAATAGTTCCACTTTTGAGACAGAAAGCTGTTAATAAGCCAAGTCTCATTGATCTTCACCCAGATCATCTGAGATATCAATGTTAAATTTCCTCTTGGTCAATGCTACTTTAAGAACTGTTCTACAAAATTGAAACCACAAGCACGCAAACTCCTCGGCTACATGTTGCAACAGCACCTGGTACTTGCTAGAGATGGTAACTAAAAACTGTTCTTTGACTTCTGTATTCCGGAGATATCCTACATTACTTCGGATTATATGAATATAAGATGTTATAGATGTGGAATTTCCGTCATTGTCCTTTGTTTGGGGGAAAGTTTGGCCTGGGGGTGGGGGGGGGGGGACTGTTAATAGAATGCACACGCATTATATATCATCATAATCATCAGGTGCCTTGCCGACTGGCGTGGACGATCATACCTTTCCATAATCCACGATCTCCTGCAGCATGTATCAGTTCGTGTACTGACACATCTCCATGCCATGCAACAAGACTGTCAAGAATCTTCTCTCGGTGTCTTCCTCTATCCCTCCTTTCACAGATCTCTCCAGTGGTCACAACATGTTCTATTTTACCTCTTCTCATAACATGGCCGAAAAATGATGACGGTCTCCTTCTGATTTCTGTGATAAGCTATATATATAAGGCAGTCGAGAAGTGCCAGTACAAACAGGCTGGTCCTATAGATGCAGTTTAACGTCGATGGGCGGCAGCAGGTACAGGAGAACTGATTGCATATTGCCTCACAAGGTTTTTAGAAGCAGGTTACTGGCCATTTCACAAGCCACATTGGGGCACGGTTGGAGAGAATCACAACTGAAATTCGAGGCTCACTGTGTCGCGCCATGCCCTCACCTTAGCACTTGGACGACAGAACTATATTCTTTCAGTCTACATATGGAGGAAAATGCAACTGCTAACAATTGTCAGAAGCACAAACTTGCCAAGACTAAAAAAAAAAACAGTAATTCTGTTTTTCTGCATATCGACATGATGTAATTGGCGGAGAGGTGCAGAGTTGCAGCCATGCTAAAAACCACAACACACGGGCTACTCGTCCTTTTAATGGCGACGCAAAAGGAGGACAATAAGAAGGACGAAGAAGAAAAAGAAGAAGAAGTAGAAGTAGTAGTAGTAGTAGTAGTAGTAGTAGTAGTAGAAG